CCCCAAAACCCCAAAACCCCAAAACCCCTAAATGCAATCCATAAAAAATATAATGAAATTCTAACTAATATATTTTGTAATTTAAAATAGAAATAAAAATGCTTTTCAACTGTCCAAAGATCTATTAGCACTCTTCACCTTCATCGCAAAATCATATTTCACTACATCCAACTAAACCAATCATTGCCTATGAATCATCATAAAATCTTGAGATTATTAATTTCAATCTCAAGGGTCTAGTGATTTGTATAAATATTGGAGAAGACATCAATCAGATTGAATTCACTCCTTGTGGAACTTATGTTATGATAGTTACTTTGTAAAATGGCTCGCCTTCTCTTATTTTGATTGACTATGAGAAATAAACTAAAATATGTGAACCAATATAAGTATTCAATTGCGATAAAATAAGATTAACACCTAATAAAACTATAATGGTGCACTATTCATATTCTAAAGTTAAGCAGAACCAGATAAAGTATATTCTTATACTACAATCATATACTCTTAAAACTAAAGCGAATGGAGGCTATTCTATGCATATTTATGAGCTGGAACCTTAAAATGATAAGAAATTTAGCAATTCATTTAATCAATACATATCAGGAGGTGAAAGTCCATTGATGTTGTATGTTCAAGAATAATATAAAGACCCTCTTTTGAAAAACCAGGTCGGCTAGACTAGAGTTCTTTTAGCAGAAAATTAAACTATAAAAACAGTCGAGATCGATTAGGAAGCACTAAAAGCTAGAATCATCAAATAAGTGCGAGTTCAAGAGACAATTAAATAGATTCAAGTATTAGAGTAATATAATATGATAATGATTCTGTATTTGAGTGGGAATCTACAAGCTGTTAATATGAATGTAAAATCAACACGCTATTTAAATCTAATTTTAGGGCGGATTGTTATATGAGTAAAAACATCATGAGTAAAATGGAAAGTTTACAGTATTCTGTATAAGAAATGCAATCCTCTATAGTGGATGTGAAAAAGGCTCAATAGTAGTATTTGATTTATTAAATGGGTAGTTTATTAAGCAAATTCCATTTCAGCCAAAACTATTGAAGCCGTACTTCATAGAGTATCATAAATAGCCTCTGAGAGGAGTTTTAAAAATTTCGATTAATAAAAATGATTAGCTTTTGACAGTTTTTAATGATTTCTCATATTAGCTTTTGGACTAAACTTCTAAGGCTATTTTCAAATATCATTAAAGCATACCAGGAAACATATCGAGTCTAAAATTCTTACCTTTAGATAAAACTGATTGTTACTTCGCCAGTTCTGACAATAACTAAATACTAATCTACCAGAAGAATGAAATAAGTTTTCAGTATGAGTATCATATACTAAGTCTGAATGATAAGGCCTTTAAATACTTTGACATAGAGGACTAATTGAATTTTTTAGCAATCGCCAATGATAAGAATATAAAGACTCTTGATCTTAAGGAATTCTAGGAGACTAATACCTATGAGATAAAGGATTAGAAAGAGGGGTTTAAGTTGAATGATTTTAAGGTTATAGACACTGACACTTTCTTGATTAAAAGTAACAAGGACAATTAAATTCTCAAGGTCATCAATCAGGAGCTAGTTAGTATCTATAAAGTTGAAAATTCAGATGAAAAAGATCTAAACAAAGTCAGTATACTTTCTAATAACTACACAAGTAGTTCACAAGACATTTAACTAATAAAATAGAGTAGACGAGACTTACTAGAATTATATGAAATCATAATATATCAAGATCACCTTTTAAGTTCGTCACTTTAACTATATCATATAGAGGGTAAAATAGTAGACTATTAAATCCATCATCCATCAAGCTAGTACTTAATTGTATTAAGCAGTGATGGGTATTACTACATATTCGATGTATAAAATGGAGACATCAGAGGAAAGGTTAAAATAAGCAGTGAGTCTTAAAGAATGCAAATAGACCACTCAGGACTTTACGTAATGATTCAGTATGCGAAGTCTAAATTATCTATCTATGAGATAGCTACTGGCGTTAAAGTATTTGATTAGTCAACTAAGTTTTCTTAAATTGGAGAATTTAAATGGTCTAGAAATCATGAAGAATTCATTGTAACGGATAAAAGCAGACTAAATCTAACTATATACTAATTAGATCAGAAAATATCTTCAAAAATCCTTCGAGTCACAGGTATGATGCAATTAGATTCACAATTCTGGAACAAATATCCAATTCAACTACAGACTACTAAAGAACTCTCAGATAATGAGAGGCAAATTCTGAGAAATTTAAAAAAGCAGGAGGATACTTAGAATCAAAGCAATTATCATCCATTTCTAGACAAATCAATAAGGCAAGCTACTCAATATCTAAACAAGTCCATGGAGAGATAAAATTAATTCAACATCAATTATGATGCTAGATCAACTAAAAATTCTGGAAATAAAAATGACTATTTGCAGAATTCCAAAATAATGGTTGATGATAGGGTAAGCATGCACAAGTCAGATGTGTATTCTCAATTTAATGATAGACTTCAACAATCCAAGTAACAGAGTGTGAACTACTCTGTTTTGACCTAACCACCAAAATCATACTATTCCTAGAGTAGACCTTAGTCTCGGTTTCAGAGAGTGTATTAGACTGAATTCATGAATAACTCTTATAAAGATACTCTTAATTATCCTATAAAATAACAACAGCCAATTTTACTATAGCAATAGATGTACGGAAATCAACATCTTGAGTAGCAGCAGTATTAATAGTTTACGCAATTTTATCCATCCAGTCAAACTGTAGATCAAGATATTTATGGAACAATTTAACCAACGATTTAAGTCTCCTAATAATATCAATAGCAGCCTATTAGATATGTAACTTAGTCACAATCAATGCTCAGCTAATAAAATCCATTGGACATTTAATTAAAAGAAACTGAGTTGAAATTTTTAAGACCCCATGCTAAGACATAAATCAGTGACTTATCTGATGTCAGAATACCTTAAGAAGCAATATCTACTATAGCCCCTGCTGAAACAAATCCTATTCTGTATGCAAATTCCCTCAATTAAAATTAACCATTAATCATACCTTAAAATGAAAAAATCCCTATAAAAGATTAAATATTGGAACTTACTATTAATCAAAGAGAGTCATCAGAAAAAGGTTCAGTTAAAAATTTAGTCCTGGATAACCCTTAACTGAATACCATTCAATAAATTGAGACCATTTAAAGTTAAAAAGATGATTATGTAAACTTATAAACACCTAAGAAAAACCTTATTGATGAACTTTAAAAGTAGCCTAGTAATGCATTTCAAGACTCAATGCGAGAGAACTAATAATAATCTAATTATGGAGTTGCTGATGATCCAGAGGATATTGATGCAGACATCGATGATGAAGATCAGAATGAATGAATGACATTCACTTTTAAATTTTATTTCTTAATAATATATCATAGTAATTCTTGAAACACAGGGGGTTTTGGGGTTTTGGGGTTTTGGGG